CCCTCCTGGGGGGTGATTTCTCACTTTCTGTCTCTCTGTCTCTCTTTCTTTCTGGCAAGTGCACGCACCCTTAGCAAAAACCTCTCCAAAAAGAAAAGAAAAGAAAATATGGAGTGGTTCCTTTGGCAACATATATGTGAATCTATAAGAAAGGTGATATTGTAGGTATCAAGGGAATGGGTACTGTTCAAAAAGGAATGCCCCACAAATGTTACCAAGGCAAAAGGGGAAGAGTCTACAATGTTACCCAGCATGCTGTTGGCATTGTTATAAACAAACAAGTTAAGGGAAAGATTCTTGCCAAGAGAATTAATGTGCCTATTGAACATATTAAGCATTCTAAGACCAGAGATGGCTTCCTAAAATGTGTGAAAGAAAATGACCAGAAAAAGAAGGAAGCCAAAGAGAAAAGTACCTGGGTTCAACTAAAGTGCCAGCCCGCTCCACCCAGAGAAGCACACTTTGTGAGAACCAATGGAAAGGAGCCTGAGCTACTAGAACCTATCCCCTATGAATTCATGGCATGATAGGTGTTAAAAATAAACTAACGTATGGTCTATACAAATAATTAAAAGAATCTGTAAGCTGGTATATTAAAGAAGGCAAAATATAAGACTTCATTGATAGGTATTTTAAAAATAGTATGAGGAAAAAGTTCCATTTTAGAAAAATAATCTTCACAAGCTAAAAATCCTTAACTTGATTAAAAGAACAACAAACGAACAAAAACTATCTACCAGAATGCAAGAGAAAATGGTAACACTGAAAGAATTTTCATTAAAATAGAGACAAAAAAGACTTTTGGCTGGAAATAACATCCAAAGCTAGAGTTACTAGAAGTCATGGACACTGTAATAAGACAAGAAAAAAAGAGGGTAAATAACTATTGAGCAGGGGGACCAGCTGATGGCATAATGGTTATGTCCCTAGACTCCCACATAGTAGACTGAAGTTTGAGTCCCAGACCATGTGGCTTAAAAGTAAAACTGGGCAGGACCAGCAGGTGGTGTGGTGGTTAAGGCGCTGGACACTCCCACATGGCCGACCAGGGTTCAAGTCCTGGACCTGGTGGCTTGCTTTCTCACTTCCTCTCTCTCACTCTCACTCTCTGTCTCTCTCTCTGGTCAAATTAAAAAATCAACAAGTGTGGGGACCAGCAGTTAACATAATGGCTATGTTGCTGGACTCCCACGTAGTCGACCGCGGTTCGTGTCCCGGACCTGGTGGCTTAAATCTCACACCGGGCGTGTGTGTGTGCGTGCCCAAGATCCCGAGAGGAGAACGGAGGAGAAGGGATTGCGGCATGGCCATCCCCCCTGGGGGGTGATTTCTCGCTTTTTGTCTCTATGTCTCTCTCTGTCTGTCTGGCAAGCACACGCATCCTATAGCAAAAACCTCTCAAAAAAAAAAAAATCAACGAGTGAATAAATAAAAAATAAATAATTATTTAAAAAAAAAAGTCACACTGGGTATATGAAATGCATTCACAAAATCCCAAGAGGAGAATGAAGAAGGAGGGATTGTGGCATAACCATCCCTCCAGGGGATGATTGCTTGCTTTCTGTCTGTCTCTGTCTCTCTGGTGAGCACACGTGCCTTATAGCAAAAAAAAAAAAAAAAAAAAAAAAAAACACATACACACATACATGCACACACATAGAGAGAGAGAATGAGAGCAGGAAAGGACAAATTTTCATTTGAAGAATATAACTGTCTACCTAGAAAAATCTTAAGAATCTACTAAAAAAACTC